GACATCACATTCCTCTTGTGTTCTTTTTTTCTCGTTTTCTCGTTGACAAAGTCAAACCACTTTAGACTTTGTTCAATACCATAGCAAGCTAGTTTTCGTACAAGAATCTTATGGTCAATGGTGTCGAAAGCCTTTTTTAAATCTTTGAATATTATACCATTTATGAGACCGTCGTTAATATTGACAAACCAACTGTTAGAAGTTTCAAGCTAGGACGTTAGTGTGCTATGAAGTAATCTAAAGCCGGATTGACAGTTGGCTAAAATTGTGAAATTGGTCGAAAATTGTTCTTTCGAACACCTTAGCGACAGCAGAAATAATCGGAATTGGTCGGTAGTTGTTAACGTCTTGCTTTTGCCCTTTTAGTGCAGAGTGCACTATTGGGATGGTTTGGGGGTTAACGTCGCTAAATTACCATGGCAATATGGCAATAAGGCACTATTGAACTATGGCACTATGGCACTGTGGCACTATGGCACTATGGCACTATGGCACTATGGCAGTATGGCAGTATGGCAGTATGGCAGTATGGCACTATGGCACTATGNTTGGGAATTTTTAAAGTCAATAGAGTGATTTGAAGACCAAGCGTGTTTAGCGATGTTGGAACCTCTTGCGTAAGACATCACATTCCTCATGTGTTCTTTATTTTTAATATGTTTTGTCCTGGCTACCGTTCTTCTATTTTTATTGAAAAGTATTGTTGCAGATTCCTTGGTGCTGTACGAAGCCGTGTTTATCACAGTCTCGAATAAAGTAGAAATCGAGGCATTTCATTCACAGATGCCGATAACGAGTCTTGGTCGAAAAGTGCTTTTAACTCCAATGTTGCCCGCTGAACTCACTAGCTGGACTTTGTCGTCAGTTCTTATTTCCGGTCTTGGTTTCGAACCTTTAGGTTTCGAGTTTAGGAAAAATTGTACGTATGGTAAATGACACGGAATAAACCGAAAAAATGAAATACAGAGAGAGTCCGACACTGTAAAGAAGCACCAAGCGATTGGGAGAATGTGTTCATCATAACAGAGCCTCGATATATCGAGATTTTACTGTTAGGAACTTTGGCGGAAGTGAAGACTATCTATTATATATTCTGAGGAGGAGGATTACATCTGCATTGCACTTCCCGTCCGTAAAAGAAAGTTTTCGTCAAAGTTAATGAAAAGTTTATTGACGCTAAAGTGTGATGAACTTCTCAAGAGTTCATCTTAAAATACAAAGACCTGAGTGAGTATGAGAAGAAAACAGTGTTCCAAAAAGTCGAAGCAGACAAACACAAACAAGTTGGATTTTTGTTTTAAAATGCTAACTTCCTAGTATCTCTCTTTTCCCAGTTGCATCCTTGGGAAGAAAACTCTGTAGTTAACTAACACAGTGGATGTTTACCATTTCTTAAAAAAGGAAGATTTTGAAAAATCAACCGATAAACCAGAGGCAAAAAATTTTAAAAATGTATCTTTCAGGCGATAAACACGTTCCCGCCCAAAATGAAAACCAGAGCTGATATGCAAAAACAAGGCTCGTCGGGAACTCATCGGATATTCAAACTCATCTCTAAATGAAAAATCAAATCAATATTACTTCATAACTACTATTGTAGCAACATTGAAATTTCACCTGAAAAAAACGTAGGTTGGGTATGAATCCAGTAGTCTTTACAATACGCTGTGGACCAATTTAAGCCTGTGATTAATTCGAAGATGAACCGCACGCTTTCAGAATTAAGCTGAGGAAAATTCAGGGTGATCTCTGTCTTTAATATAAACAGACGCAGAAATAAAGACTTAGAAAGAGGATCGAAAGTACCGATTATGTTATTCCTGACGGTTCTTGACCAATAAGCGGCTTTCGAAGAAGGCTGAAATTAATATTTTGCCGGGAACCCACCACACGCCCTTAAATGTTAATTGATGGAACGAAGTAAATTTAGCCAATGGCTAAATTTACTACTTACTACTATATTACTATTGTGTTTAAATTTCCATAAAAGGATAATAAGGATAATTATGGAACATCTTAAGTAAAAACTGATATCGATTCCTGCTTGTTGAAGTTTTTCTTTCATATAAGAAGAAGGGGTATCGAATGCTCATCGAAAGCTACATCTGCACGTTTAAGGTAGGTATTGTCCTACGAAACCACTTTAGGTAAGTAAGTAAGTAAGTAAGTAAGTAGGTAAGTAAGTAAGTGGGATAGTCAGTCAGTCAGTCAGTCAGTCAGTAACTTTATTTAACCAGGGTAGCCCATTGCTTATTGAAACCTCAGGGGACCCGCTAGGTTCACTGCAGCCACGACACAAGATAAACCTTCTCTGAAATTCTTAACATTTAGAAACAGTGGGCAGTCCATAACTATTGAGATCACGACCGAATTGAAAGTAGGAATACGCGAATCCTGTTATTTAGCTTTAAAAACAAACCACACCTGTCGCCACGTGCCTGCCGCGGGAACAACAGCAGCTGACGGAAATACAGGTTGCTTTCTTGAGCTACATGGGGAGGCAGCGTGGCCGAGTGGTCCTGCTCCGACTACTATACAAGAGTTGTGTCTCGCTAGACCCTAGTTCAACTGCTTCACACATGTAAATACGGTGTGCCTCCCGCCAGTTAGAATTCTTAAACCTAATATGTTTATTTGAAATCTTTGTTTCTTTTCGTTCAAGTGGCATCCCTGATAACTAGCTGGGTGTAGCTTTTAAGCGCATTGACCAATAAAAGTATTCAACAGCAACAAATTCATCAGCTTAAAAGTTATCTTTCCCTTTGCTTTTCAATCTGGTTTGAAAATCGGTTGATAGATGAAAAGAACTATCGTAAGCAGTGGCGGATCTAGGGGAGGGGTCCGGGGGACCCAGGCCCGCCCCCCCTTATTTTGAGTGAAAAAAGAAGAAATGACTGAAGGAAGAAAAGCCGGCAGGGCAACTAAAACAAAACCGCCCCCCTCCCCCCCACTCCTTAGTTCAAAGTCTGGATGCGCCACTGGTAAGAGATTTGTTAACCAGAGGCCAGGTATATGAAAATGAAGACCTACTCTCTACGTGTCGATTTCAAATTGCGAACCTGCTTATACTCTCAAACCACTCTGAAAACAATACTTCCTTTTCGTAACACAGGATACAATATGCATGGATCTTAATTTGCCCCAATGAATATTTATAGTTGTTCCTTGATTAAAATTAGATCTTGAATTTCTACTCGCAGGTTTTGTTCTCAGCCCTTGGATTTTTAAAACAATGGCGATGCTAAGAAGTCAGCAGCTGTTTGCAATCACCCATTGCCTTCTGGTCTGGTCTAGTACTAGTGTTGCGGGACTTCCCGCTGGAGTGGAAATCAAAAACTTGAGGCTTTGTGGTAAGATACCTCTAATATTTTGATCTCAATTTCAGCTCAGTGTTAAATCACAACTTGCTTTTATTAATCACTTTGGTTAATGAAGTAATTTTCTCCCGCCATTCTCATAATAAAAATAGCTTTCATCATAAGTTTGATCTCATCTCTTATAAACTCACCATTTCTTCCTCCTGCTCTCACTTGTCAGTCGGAATTCTAATCTCTTTAGTCACAGTATATGCAGGGTCCGATCTTAGCCGAAAATATACTCGTTTTTCGATTCGTTCCTACGTGCTGGCATGATCGAGAATCTTAAAACAAGAAATATAACACTTATCCCTACAACCTTTAGAAGCACTAAGACGTTTAAAAATGTGGGAATTTTTGTCCCGAAAGAGATACTCATTAATACGTGTGTTAAAATGCCTATTGGTTTCACCAATATGACGAGCTCCAAAGCTCGCACATGTAAACTGATAAACAACACGTGATTTAACAGAATCAGGAACAAAATCTTTAGTATTAAACATAGTGCTAAGTTTGAACGGAGAGAAAATAATTTTTACATTTAAGATAATTGTTGCATTTGTGCTATCAAGACCGTTTGGTAATTTCAAATGTGAAATTAAAAAAAATGCCAAGGTAACATTTGGCGCGAAATTTCTCGAAACAATAAAGTAGTCAAACACCCACGATTGTGAGCGTAATTTGTCACCTATGATGTAACCAAATGATTTACTCCTCTTTGAGGCCTGGGAAATTATAAGAATTTTGACAAAACGCGCGTGAAATTTCGTGCATTTCCTCAGTCTCGCCAAGAGAAAAAGAAATAAGGAAATATTCACATAAATCCCGAAGGAACAGATAATTGCAAACACCAAATGCAATCAATGAGAGGTTTTCTTATAATTGGCAACATAATGGTGTCTCTAGCTATATAACTGTCTCTTATTTTGTTTTGCATATTTTGTATATAGAGCACTCTTGGGATAAGTGAAACAATTTGATCGTTGTTTATCCGTTATTTGTCTCTTATTTGTATTTCTTCATAAATGAAATAACATGGTTCGTTGCATTCCATACCGGTTAGCCAATCACAGTAATTGTTGGATTTTAGAAGTACCCAAGAGGACGGGGGGGGGGGGGGGGGGGGGG